AACTGTAAACTTAAGGGTTTTTTGCGAAGTTAATATGATGGTAACCTGTTATCACCGGTAAAAGGGTAAAACCAAACATTTTTTGGAAAATGTTAGGGTAAAAACGGACATAAAATTCAACTTTGGGTAAAACCGACAAAACCCTGAAAACTTGAGGGTTTTTATGACATTAGCCCTAAAGGAAAATAGATACAGATATACATAAGGATTCAATTTAACCCAAATATTTGTCAATTAAGCTGCTCGGTGTGGACTCATGAATGACCTCGACAAACACTGGGCCGAGCTCGGCTCGGCAACTCGGCTAGAACTTATCGAGGAGGAGAGAGGAGGTTGGGTTTGAATGCACTAGCCATTGGGTGCCCCTTTCTTATTGTTTTTTTTTTCAAAAAACCCTCCATTTTTACCCTTTATAAACATAACTATTTCACCTATTTTATCTTACTTCACCATCTTCATTTTTTCACTCAAACCCAACATATTTTGTGAAAAAAATAGTTTCCCCTTCCAACCCAAAAGCTCAAAAAAATACCGAAAGAAACACCCAAAACTCAAACATCTCACATTCTTCATCAAATTTCGTTCAAAATCAACGCGATCGGCCTATTATTCTCAACTAAATTTACATTTTGTGGTGTATACTACCCATTTTAAGCCCAAAACCAACCTCAATACCAAAATCAAGCACAATACCAAAACCAACCTCAATTTCAAAACCAACCACAATTTCAAAGACAACTCCAATTTCAAAACCAACCACAAATGAATTTCTCATCCCAAATGGAAAATGAGTTCAATCCATTTGATGATCTTCCCGACTCCCCAATCAATTTCTAAACCCAATTCCAAACTCAAGTGGAACGCGAAGTCGTCCCTGAAATGGAATCCAAGCCGGAAGAGAATCAACCACAACAAAAAAAAAGTGGACGGGCAGTTCCAAAGCAATGGACACCGGGCGAAGAAAATACGTTAGCTCGTGCGCGGGTGGATGTTTCCAAAGATCCGGTGGTCGGAAACAACCAAGATTGTCCAACTTTTTTCCGGAAAATTACACGGCGTTTTCTCACGGAAATGAATCTTGGAGATTACTGGAAAAAATACCAAATTTATTCGAAGTGGATAAATGTCAACAAAGTGGTGACGGAGTTTAACGCAGTGTTCTCGACTGTGAAACAACAATGACAAAGTGGTGCAAACGACGAAACCATTTTTCAAAAAACTCCTGACATGTACCAGAATAGAAAAGGGGCGAATTTTAAATTTCTACATGTTTGGAATATTGTAAAATTGTCAAAAAAAATGGCAAGTTGTCGACGATTCTGAAACTTTTACGGGTGGTTCTTCTAAAAGAACCAAAACATCTGAAACGACGCATAGTCAATCGTCTGATGCGCATGTCGGGATTGACCTTAATGAAAATTAGCCTTTTGAAGTTCCAATAACCACTCGTCCCATGGGAAGAGACAGAGCCAAGCGAAAGGGAAAAGCGGTGGCAACTAGTTTTGATGACATCAACCAACTAATAACAAAAATTGACAATTTGAAGTCGAGCTTGGACAAATACTTGGAACTCGCACACGAGAAAGAAAAAACTTGTGTCATGTCCATCTTAACGAGAAACACAAGCGAACTATCCAGACGCGAAAGGGAAATGGTGATAAAATCCAAAAAAGAGTTTGCAAAAAAAAATATAACATCTAGCTTTCGGTTTTTTTTTATCAATGTCTCGTTTTTTAAATTTCTAAGTTTGTAATTTTAATTTCTATGTTTTTTGGTGTGTTATACTTTTATTTTATGTTAATGAAATCTAAGATTAAAAAAATATATATGTTTGAAATGTTTATTTTCTATATTAATTTAAAAAATAGTATAACAAGTGTGGCAACTCACACCATTCAAATGACAAATTTTGGCTAAAGTGTGGCAAAAATGACGTAGCGTATACATGGACCGTGACAAATATAACACTACTTCCACCAGCCTTAGAATAATATATGAATGTCACATCAGCTTTATGCTTAGTCAACAAGTGAAAAACATGAAACATGTGAAGCAAACCGGTCGATCAATTAAATTTGCAATAAAATTGTAATCTTAATGACTTAATTGAGAAAAATAAAAAACACAGTGTAAATATTTAAATTTTGTATAAACTAAATGGCAATTGCCAATAAAATGGTTAATATTCATAACAAATAATAAATTCAAACAAAAAAGCAGTTAACATCAAATAATTTGTTCTTTAAGCTAGAAAAATGATTGAAAACAACTTTTAGTAACTTTCATTAGTAAAGTTTGGAATGCAATTTTTAATCTATCGAATGTGTATTCTTAATTACATCAATGTTGTTAATTATTTTCATAACATGTTTCATTTAACTTTATATTAGATTCATCATTGAAATTATAACATTTTTCTTTTCTAATAAGATATTAAACTAAAACTATTTTTTGCTTGGTATGACAAATGATATTTGATCCAAAGTACGGGGAGAGGGTAGGCATCCGTCCCATCTAAAAATACTTAAAAAGCTTTATGAAGGCGAAATTCATTGAATATGGATAATTGTCTGTTCTATGGTTGTCAAAATCGCGATCCTGATCATAGGATCGTACGATCCTACGATCCTAGGTATAAAAAACGATCCGGATCGTAAAATGATAGGGTAGGATCGCAGATAGGATCGTAAGATCGTAGGTAGGATAATAGGATCGAGATCCGATCCGATCCTACCTTCCTTTGATTTTTTTTTTATTTTTTTTTATTTTTTTTTATTTTTGCAAATGAATTTTTTTTACCACTTTATGTCTTTTACCTTTTACCAATTTACCATTTATCATTTTGTATTGTGGCTTATGACTAATATTTTGAAGTTTTTATAACCTTTGAACGAAAAATTGGATGTTTGAAATATTTTTCATGATTAAAAATTATATTTTATTTTGTGGGATCTTAGGCTCCCGATCCCGATCTTACGATCCCGATCTTGCAAACTCAAAAACGATCCTAGGTAGGATCCTGATCTTGACAACCTTGGTCTGTTCTTTCAAAAACATAAAGTAAATCTTCTTGTAATTAATAGATCATGACATACAAGTTATTTAAATTAGGTGTCAAGAAATTAACCAATCTAATTTAAACTTAAACTGATCGATAATTAATTAAAAGCAACATTCTAACGTTCTTACATTTAATTGTAATTGGATCATTGTAAATTGATTAGGTGGGTTCGAAATCTTTATGTGTATTGGATTAGTTGGTTCTTAAACTACAATTATTTATCGAATAAAAGATGAATTCGCTCAATTCAATTATTATCCGACTAAAATCAAATTAAAGTATAAATAAAAATATTTAAATTATCATAAAGTATTAAATTATTAATATATACAATTATATATTTTAGACAGAATTGCAAAAATGGTCCCTGTGGTATGCATTTTTTTGGGGTTTTAGTCTAAACCTCGACTTTTTTGGATCGGTGGTCCTTATGAGCTGGTTTGATTGTAGTTTTGGTCCCTCGAAAAACTGAAAAGACTAAAATACCCTTGAGGTATTTCTTTTTCATTTTTCTTTCATTTGTTATCTATTTTTATAATTAAAAAATTAAGAAAACTCTCTCTCTCTCTCTCACATTGCCGCCTTCATTCTCCTTTCTCACATTAAGAAGAAAAACGTCAAAAAACACCCTTCTTAGCCTTAATTTCTCCCAATCAAGGCAATTCTTCCTTGAAATTCTGGCTCCTTATCACTCAGACCTTCAACTTCACGATGATTACTCCCTCCATCCAATGTTATGTAATCAGGGGCAGCAGCCCGTGATTGTCGTAGTCTCTCCCTCTTTGCCCTAATTGCATCGATCATGGCTTGATCAGGTATCACACCTCCATCTAAATTTCACCCCTTTCCACCTAATCCTATCCTATTTGATTCTTCATCGTCTCCTTTTGTATTCTTTAATGAATCATCAATAATCCTATCATATTTGAATAGTTCACCTTCTATCAGTCCATCGTGAGTTGTAGGTCAAGGGAAGAGGCAATTTTTCGATTCGTTATCAGCTGTCTTCAATCGACGAAATGAAGCACACAACTGAAATCGTGCTGGTGAAGTTAAAGAGACCGAGACGGCGAGAGCTTACTAATGACGGCAGCAGCAGGTGGTGGACCGGAGATTCTTAACAACAGTAGTGGTGGTCAATGGGTGGAAGGAAGCAGTCCTCCGGCGATGATTTGCAAAGGGAGGAAGACGGAGACGATCGTTGTAGTCAGTGGTTCAAAAGATGACGAGAAAGGGTGCTTGGGCTGCTGTAATAGACGAGCAACAACCAAGAAAGGAAAAGGGGGTGTTTGGGTGATTCAGTCGACAGAATGGATAGAAGGAGGGTGAAGACATTCGGTGGCGATGAGCTATTTCCGGCCACCTCTTGACTGATCTGTTAGCGAAATACGCATGGGAGGGGGTTCGGTGGCCCTTTTCGACGAAGCGACAAGGAGGGTGTTTGGAATCCTACACAACCACACACACACATACAGAGAGAGAGAGAGGGAGGGAGAGAGAGAGAGAGAGAGAGAGAGAGAGAGAGAGAGAGAGAAGAGAGAAGGTGGGCCCCTTCTTGATTTATTAATTATTAATATAAATATATTGGTATTAGATTTAATAATAAATGAAAGAAAAATAAAAAATAAATAGCCAAAGGGTATTACAGTCATTTCATTATTCAGAGGGATTAAAAACGTAACGAAACTAGCTCAAAAGGACCACGAAGCCAAAAAAATCATGATTTGGACTAAAACCCCAAAAAAATACATACCACAGGACCATTTTTACAGTTTTGTCTATATTTTAATTAAAAAAATAAATACATTAAATGGAAACTTGATGGATTAGACATTCTATTTAAAAACATTGGATGGGAATAGATGAACACCTCTAATTTAAGTTGATGTTCATTTAACTTGAAAGTACCAAAAGTATAAACCATATATCAATGGCCATGTTCTAGATTCTATCACAAAATGTCTACCAAATTCATGAAAAAAAAAATCCTCGTGAAACGAAGTAACTTATAGAAATTGATTTTGTTTCTTCTCCGCAAAGTTCTTTCCATTCCATAATACATTTATGTCGATCCTCTAAATTGTTATATTTGTGGCTTTTGCGAATGCTAGCAAAATTCATATATAAAATTTCATATTATTTTAGTGACGACATATATTGACAACCTTGTTGCGTCCCAAAAGGGACGTTGCTAAAACCTAACTTTCATACCCTGTTATTTTTGCAAAGTTGATATTATAAATTGAACTATCCTGTGTATGAAATTCTCACAATTTTCGTATCTTTTGTACGTTATATTTTATTCGACAAATATATAATATAACACTCGCTATTTGAGATTAGATGTTTTGACACTTTTACTTTTAGTATGAAAGTGCAATCAAACAAAGCTTTCTTTGAACTTTAAATCGCATATCTGGGTGTTAATGATCGAAAGATGAGGGATGAGTCACTAATTATGATATAAACTTTCCAAAAAAAAAAAAGATTTACGTATAGAAGAATCTAATGAACATTGCAAATTTCTTATTTTGGGTCTTAATGGATATAAGTCCTATTTGGGCTTCAACCCAAATAAGTGTTTCGATTATATAAAATTTGGGCTTATTTAATGGTTGAGTTTCAACAAACGTAATTTAAAAGAGAAGGATGATGTTAAGAGTTTTACTAAAAGGTGAAAATTTAAGGAATTTAGCTTTTGCTACAATTTTCCTTGTTTGTAATAATAAAATGTTAGGGTTAAAAGAGTAAATTAAATGCTTTAAATGTGAGACATTTCCTTGCTTGGGTAGTTTAGTGCAAAAATCCCTGTTTTTTGTGCACGTTACTTGATTATTATCTTATTAATGATATAATGATAACATACTTAGAATTTTTTAAAAAAATATATTAACTTACACAAACTAATTTTCACTTTCTTAGCTCTAAAACAACCATATAAAAACTCTAAAACTAGAATTATATATTTAAAAACTAACAATATAATGTCAATCAATCCATTAAATATTCTAACGTTAACTATAACTTGTACAATAACCTTCTCTTTGAATCAACACTTGCCTATAAATCAAACTCATATTCTGATACAATTCTTTCCAATTCTGAAATAGAATTTTCCTTCAACATTTCATCACTTTGTAGTTTTTCAACCAATATCCTCGATTCTTCGATCTTATTCTTCATATCCGAAATAGAATTTTCCTTCAACATATTATCGCTTTGTAGTTTTTCTACTAATATTCTCAATTCTTCAATCTCCTTCTTCATAACTTCCTTTTCTTTATTTTGCTCCTCTACAATCACCTTCAATTCAAGAATTTCTTCTTTTAGATCCTTGATTGAATTTGAATCATCATCCTTGCACAAACACAAGACACACTCATATAGAAATAAGAATTCAAGATGAATAAAAAAACAAAATGGTGATAAAGTAAAGATGGGTAATTTCGTAAAAATGGATCAAATAGGTAAATTACAATTATATCTATATATTAATTTGCAATGTCGGTGGCAAAAATTGCAACCCCTCTGCTTTCAAGAATGTCATTTTTCACCCTTTGCTTTTTAAAATTTACTTTGAATAATGATACTTTCCACCCCTATATTTTTGAAATTTCACTTTTACCCCTATTTGAGTAATACTTTGTAAAATTCTATTTTCCACCCCTCTACTTTTTAAAATGTCACTTTGACCTCCTCGACTTTGAACTTTGTAAAAATATCACTTTCACCCCCTCCATTTTGTAAACTTTCCTGTTATCTCAATAGGTTCCCTTAATAACTTTTGTTTGTTAACTTAAATAACAAATTTTGATCATTTACTAACTTATACAAACATAAATTGGTAATTTCTTACTAACAAAATGAAACATGATTAATAAAAATAAAAATTTTAAAACCAATGTGAAATTAATAAAAATTAAATTAAATTAAAACTTACATCGCTTAGAACAAAAATGGTAGATTTTTGTTGCATCATCGGTTCTTCTTCTTCTTCTTCTTCTTGTTCTAAATTGTACACTCGCACCATTTTCATACATCTTTCGCTTTCTATATTAATCGGCTCCTCCATTGTTCCAATTTCACTTCTTAAATACCATTCCTTTAAAAGTAAAAAAAAAAAAAATCAACACAAACTTTTATAACAAAAAGTGTAAATTACATATTATGATGATGAAGATGAAAAGGGTATTTACATCTTTTGCACAAACAAAAGATCAAGAGCGAGTCTGTGTCCCACCTTTTTTGAAGGGACATCAGAGTCTGAGTACAGTGCATGTCAAACACGGTACAATCTGTTTTGTCTTGTCATATGTAACAAAAAAAAGCTTATTAGGAGGGTGAGAAAACTAACTTGTGGGATCTCCTTAATTATATCAATTTGAATCTCCTTTGAAGTTGGTTCAAGAATCCTTAATATCTAAAAACAAATTGACCAAAATGAAAAATGACGGATTTGCCCCAAACCCTAAACCATAAAAGTAAGAATAAGAGAGAGAAAGAAAGAGATGCCTGAGCATGGTCTAATTCTTCAAATTTGATAGGAAGGTATTGCCTACCACTGCTTTCCCATCGACATACACGGGGAAACGTGGAGGGGCAATCTAGTAATTTAGGCCTTCCGATAACAATGTGTTCGTAGCTCCATATCTATTTAAAAGAAACTTATTAGCTTGTCATGAAAAGTTAAGTGATCATCTATTTAAAAGAAATTTGAAGAGAACTAAATAGAAACTTACTTGAAGAAGAATAAGACACCCTCTAACACTATTTGTTCTTTTACTTTTCCATTGTGTTAAACACTCATGAAGATCTTCTCTAACAGCTGCACCCCAAGCAAAACTACTCACATAATCCAAATCTTCAAGAAACAAAAGATACCTCGAATCCACCTTCCCATTTCCACTTGTAAAAAGCAAAGTTCCAAAACAATATAACAAAAACACACGAACAAAAGACGAATCTGCCCTCTCACCAAGACTCTCAAGCCTATCTTTAAGTGAATCAACAGTAATAAAACGGTTTTGAACTGAAGCACCGAATTCTATCTCAAGGGTTGTTAATGGTGTGTCTTCTTTTAGGATTACAGGTTGACCAATAACACGGAGTCCTAAGATTAAAACTACATCTAAGAGGGTTATTGTTATGTCTCCAGGAGGGAATATAAAAGATTGTCTTTCAATGTTCCATGTTTCCATTAATTCGATTAATTGGGTTCTTCTTAGGACATGAGATGGAATTTGGAGTAAATGGCCGAATCCCACTTGGGTGATGGAGTTTCTTTGGGTTTGTGTGAGTTTATGAACTTGTTTGAGGAAAGACTGAAGTGAGAATTTAGTATGGAAAACCTGCAAAAAGAAAGATGTTTGAGAGATTGTTGTTGAAATCACACAATGTAGGGAGATAATGTGCAAAAGACATGAACGTCCTCATCTTCAACATAACAAATAGTCCCTAAAAAATCTTGTTCAGTTGGATCCAGTCATGTCCATTGTAACACAAATGGGGCTTTAAAGGCACTCAATTGGAAAAACATCAATTAAAATTGTGCAGAAAACTATATATCGACACTCAATTGAAAACCCTAATCGCCCCCAAACGCATACACGCACTACAAATTCGACAAAATGTTTACTGTGTGCATACATTTTTGAACTACATTTAAGAAGATCAAAATGAACTACAATGGATTTTTTTTTGAAGAAAAAGCACAAAAAAATGTTCGTCGAGATTAAGTGTCAAATGTGTATAACTAAAACGGATAGGGGTCTTTTAGAAGCAAAAACACCAAATGTACATAGAAATTGTCCAATGAAAGAGAAATTCACAGCACGAGTGTTAAGATTCCCAGAATTAGAAACGGCATTAAAACACTAGTTCGATTCTTGGCTGCAATGCAGTGTACAGGGACAGAAAACCCAAATCACAAATGACGAAAAAGACGATATACCGAACAATAGACAACATTAATTTCAAGAAATTGGTAAGAATCAGGAGAATGAGAGAGTACCATTGTTGGTGTGTCATGTGAGAACCAGATGCGACAGAGAACGAGAAGAGCAAGGACATGGGAGGAAAATGAAGCTTGCTGGAGAAGCTCAAACTCAAGGCGCCAAAAAGTAAATTACGAGGGGTTTTCATTTTATAGGGACGGCTGGTGCTTGCTAATTTACTTAAAGAAAAAAAATAAAGAATAATATATTCCTTATTTTGTTTTTTTGAAGTTCCTTTCTTAACTTAAAAAAATAATAAATTATCCGTTTTGTTCATGTTAATTTTTCTTACACAATTTATCATTTAATTTCTTATATATGTTTAAAAAATATCAT